GAGCGTGAAGAAGTCGCCATTCTGCACCAGTTGACAGCCTCTCAGATCGACCTCCTCGGGAGGCTGGGAGTAGAAACGGGTTGTTATTGCGCTGTTTTGGTGGCTCCAGTCGGCTGTGAAGTGCTTCCACACTTCTCTGTCGGCTGCACCTTGGATCCAGGAGGTTGGTGGGGAACGACCCTGCGATCGCAGGAACTGCTCCCATGCTAGTTGCAGGAATCTGCTGGCATCCGCACACAGGCTTTGGGTGCGTCCTGGCAGGCGTTTGATGTAGGGACCATTAGCAAAAAGCCATTCGGGACCTCTGATGCGAAGTGTGACTGCAATCGGAATGAAAGATTGGGAGGGGTACCTGGCAGCATGACCCCAATAGCCAAAAAAGCTGGACGCATGTTGACCCTCCCATGCCTTGTGCCCAGCCAGCTGTGCGGCCAGTCTACTGGCTCTTCTTCTTGCAATCCAAGAATCCAAAGACCCCTGAAAGGGGTCTCTAGAGAATCCGAGAATGGAAAACAAGAAAGTGGCTTGGGTCGTTCTAAGGAACTGACGTATACTTTTGGAAGGCCTCACAGCCGGGCTAAGCCATCGCCATCGGGACGTGATAAAGCAGTCGAAGATTTGTAGACGCTTGGCGAGTCCGACCGAATGTTGCCGAAGGATCCTGTAGTATGCCCAAAAGGCATTGGAGACCTTGGTCATCCTGGCAGCAAGAACAGCATTGCAAGAGAGCCATGAGGATGCCTAGAAAGACGAAACTCTGTGTCCATTGAACCTCTGTCCCACATGATGTCAGTGGATGTTTCGGAAAACCGGGTGTCTGGATGTACTTGCACTTTCGCCAATTCATTCTCAGTCCTATTGTTCCTAAGGATCTGACTGTGTCCTCGAGCAGCCGGACTGCTTGTTCTCGCGATGTGGCGAGGAGAACCAAATCATCGGCAAAAGGTGTCAGGAAGAGTTTTCTTCCCTCCTGGGTCTGTAACCAGGTGTCTTCTCGCTGTTGCCACTCCTTGTTCGTGAAGGACATGTAGAAATCTACACATCGGGCAAAGAGCTCTGCGCTATAACTACTGCCCTGGAGGACACCTTGTCGGAGCGGCTGATCCCAACTCGTGCCCTGGAGCCCCAGGCCTACACGGCTGTTGCAAATGACGTCGAGTAGGACCTCAGCTTCTCGACTCCCTTGTGCCTGCGCCAAGAAGGAAGCGATAGATTCGTGCGACAGCGAATCAAAGGCCGCTGCCACATCTAGTTTGATAATAACCAAAGGTTTGCCGTACTGCTCTGAAAGGCGAATGGCTTGTTGCACTGCACACGCTGCATCAAGAATCTGTCTTTGTGGCACTCCTCCTACTTGAAAAGCACCAATGTCGGGAAGTTTTGGCCGCAAACGTAGCATCAATGCCTTAGTAAACACCTTGGCTACTGTCGAGGACAGTACGATAGGCCTGAGGTCTGCAGGTGTTTGGGGAGTCGCTGTTTTCGGCAGGAAGCAGACATGGCTGTGCAGCCAACCTCGCGGGATGGGCAACAGTCCTTGTAGAACCCCATTATACATGTCCAGGACATGATCAGCAAGTTCTGACTGTAGAAGCATCTGCAGAGCTTCATAAGAAATCCCATCAGCTCCCGTACTCTTGTTATGCTTGCACATGAAGGCAACATCTCGAATCTCTTCGAGCGAGAAGGGGATAGGGTTCAGGATTGGTCCCGCTCTGGCATGAAAGATTGCACGGGGAAGTCCTGACGGCGTGGGATCTTGGGGTGTGTACTTACGTTGGTAGAAAGCGCGCAGGTCGGCAATGGCCTTGCTGCGTCCACCTGCCCGAATGCAATAGGAACCTTGTGTATACATGGCCGTGTTGCGTTTCTTGAAATACGCAATGGCCCGGAAGTCTCCTTCTGCACTTTTCTCGAGCAAGGATGCAAGCCACTCCTTTTTGGCCTTCTTGCGTGTGTCAGCAATTTGTTTTGCCATATCCCGGGCCTCGCGTCCTCGCAATCGTTTTCGCTGAGCAATGAGGTCTTTGATCTCTGCCGTATCAACAAAGCGACAGCTGGTGACTCTACGAGAACAAGATTGACACAGCGATGCTAAGTCATCCATACTCATGTCAGACATGGACAATTCTAGATGTTCAGCAAGTGCACTGGCTTTCTGCATGAGTTGTGGGCCTTGTGTCCACCATTTCCCGCATTTGGAGTTCTGAAAAGCTCCCCTGCCCGTGGAAGGCAGAGATTGTAGACTAACACTGACGGCGCAATGATCCGAACCGACAACTGAGTCCGAGCCCTCAATCACACGATCATCCCAAAAGGTCATGGACGGCAAAGCGAACAAAATGAAGTCAATCCTAGAGGAAGCTCCGCTAGTGTTGCTCCATGTAGGTTCTTGTGGTCTCGTGAACTCCAGGCCGAGAATCCTGAGGAGCTGGCCTAGAGGCACTCCCCTTTCGTCGACGTTGACGATGTCGAGGACATCGTAATTAAGATCGCAGCAGAAAGCAATTTCATCATGATAGCGCTTACCCCTGCAAAAGGCAAGAAGTTCTTCGACTTGTTGTTGCCACACCTGTAAACAGTCTTCACGAAGTTTGTACGGCAAGTGAATTTGATGCAAACTACTGACGTATGCCTTGGTCCTTCAAAATCAGCCCTATCCCGGTGCAAAAGGTGGTCGTCCTCTCGACTTTACCAAGCCAGGAAGTGGGGATACCAAGTGCCGAGCCTCGGAAAGCGTGTGAAGTGTCCGCATAGAAAAAGGTATAAGACCACCCAGCAAGGGTGACCTCAGTGTGTAGTGCAATGTCGTGTGAAGGACACCTTTCCGGAAGTCCTCCCAGCTCCACCCAATTACATGAGTGCCAGTGAAGCCCAGCAGATCCCAAATTCTAGCAACATCGTCCAGGCTTTTGCCGCGCAGGTTCCACGACACAACGTGGACTGGATTGCCTCTGGGCTTCTTCTTGGCCTGTCAAGCTCCGACACCAAAGGGTGTGGCATCAGGGCCAAAATCGGCCCACATCTGTTGCAAGTCCTCTTTGGGCTTGCCAGTGACCTGCGAGAAAGCCTCCGAACATAAGAACCAAACCGTATGATTCCCTCGAGCGTCTTCGACAACCTGGTCGTTGGCGGTGGGCTCCTGTCCGTTATCCATGTTCTTAAGCATTCTGCGCTGTCCGACAAAAACTTGTCCCCGCCAGACGATTTCGGGAGGTGGTCGGCACTGCGCTGGCTCGGTGGGCTGGGGCAACTTCTCATAAAAATTCTTGGTCAAGACAAGAGCTCTGATTCTAATGCGTTCCTCGATGGAGCGATCTTTGGTAACCCAAAGATTGCAGTTATCTTGACCCTCGATGCCGCTCTTGCTCTTCATTTGTTTGAGTTTGTCGAGCACTCTGGTTTGGAGTTGTCGTTTACGGACTAGATCTTGGATTCCTTGAAAGTTCAGAGTCACCCTCAAGAAATTGGTTCTACCAGCGGGGCCAGACATGCTTGCTAGATGATTGCTCATCCCAGCAGCCTCAAACAAGTTCTTCACCTCTTGCTCTGCCTCGGAAACTCTGGCATCTGACCAGCCCCCGACAACCAAACAAAGGTCCTGTTCCGGATCACGTGGGTTTTCGCTGGGGAAAGCACCAGGGTTGCTTCGAGGGCTGCGCGGGCTGATGTTGCCAAGTCTACTGCCTCGGGGAGTGTCTGGGGCTCTCGGTGGAGTAATAGATCTGGATTTACGATCAAGTTCCACGACTGCTTTCTCAAGTGCGGTAATGCGATCAAGGGCTGCTTCGTGGTTATCAAGTTGTTCTTTGGCAGTGGCTTCGAGATGTGCAATGCGGGTGTCATGTTGTGCTACGCTGCTACCCAACTGGACACAATACTCGTGCGTTCGATCACTCTTTAAATGCAACCCGTTGAGAGACTCAGTAAGTCCTTTAAGCCACTCTGGCGTCTCTTGGCCTGAGCTGCGGGGCAGAGTTGCGAAGACACCCGTGTTGTTCTGCTGTCCCAGCTGTGGGGCCGCTTCTCCTAGAGAGGCTTTGGCGCCAGTTTGGACCTCAGTGCAGGCTTTAAGCTCATCGTCGTCGTCTTGGGTCAGGTCAAAAACCTGGTGAGCATTAGAGGTCTCATGCGGGCCCGGTGGTTCCATAGGGGAATCTTCTTGAGTTGCTGATTCCTTTGGCTCGAGCTTGATCTTCTTTGCTTCGGGAGCCTGTTTCTGAATGTCGGTATCTGACGAATCTACTCGTTGTTGGGGCCTCTGTTCGAGAATCTGGTGGTGATTGGAGACTGGTGGAAGTTGTGTTCGAGGTAATTCAGCAGGTTTGGGGGGCGGTTGGGTGGGAGGGGCGCGGTCATCAGGCTTAGGTTTGCGTTCTCTAGTACGGCCTCGCTCCATGACACACAAGCCAACAGGAAGGACAAGGGCAAGTCAATCGCAGTGCAGACAAGGCAAAGGCAGTGCAAGGCAAGGAAGACAGTTCGGACCCAAGGACGGTCACCAGTGCAAAGGAGGACAAGTACAGGGCAAGTGTCAGAAAGCAAGGAAGCAGCCCGCAGTCAGCAGGAGGAGAGGGAGAGAGAGAAAGATAACCCAGCTGAGATCCTCGTGTGCAGATACCGTTTTGTGTCCTCCATATTTTTCAGCTCTGAAACACGGTTTAAGAAAGCACGGCGTGCAGTATTTGGAGCCTACTACCTAGACTTCTACTTGTGCAAGTTTGGTTCGGAGTCGGCAAGGAAACTGCAACCTCCGCTGCAGCGGGCATGAAGCCTCGAGCTCTCAAACTTCTCGCTTGCAATGGCCCAGTGGAGAGAGTGCCGGATTCGCGAGTGCCCGGTACTGTACTTTAGACCCCTCTACACTTCTGGCTGGGTTGTCAGGGCGCCAGCCATGTTGCTAGCAATCATAGCTGGGCTGCTTCAGAGTGCGGCAGTTCGCGTAATTGCGAGCAAAGGATGTCTCAAGAAGTCTGAAGACCTTCGTTCAAGGCTTTGGCAGATCTTCTGCAGCTTCTCAGAGTCCTGGAGATGTTTGTGTGATCGAAATCTCGCATGTGAGCCGAACATTGCGCAGAAAGTCGGCTGCCCGACAACGTGCCTCGGCCTGTCTCTCCGACAAAGCGCTTTTAACTTGCTCGCGACTTTCATCCTGCATGCAAAGCTGAGCCCAACTGCTCACGGGCACAGCATCTGTTCAGTTTCTAGCGATTCTAGCGGCAGTCCAGCACTCTTGTGCTCTCGCACTGCAATGCCCCGAGCTTGCCGTCCAAGGCCAAAGCTGCCTCAAGCGGGCTTGGACTGCTGAATCACTGACGTCCTCGCTGGAGTCCTTGGATTGTGCTTGCACTTCTGTCCGAAGATCTTCCAGGCCCTGACCTTAGTTTATGCCGGAAGGCAGCCGCAGCCAAGCCCGGTCATTTGTCAAAGCTATGTAGAAAGACAGCCCGCCCGCATTTGCGGATCACACGAGCAGGTCCATGGACAATTCTGACGCCGGGCAGAGTCAGCTGAGCTTACCCCTGACATATCTAACATGCGATGTCACACGGGCTCGCTGCTGAGGTCGAAGCCCTGCTCTTTAGCGTACCTCGACACTTGGAACAGCTCTTTGTGGTCGGAGTGCACCTGCGGAAAAGTTGTTGCAGTCGAGAGTACGTATATATTGTCAAAGACAGACTGCCAATGCAGGACCAACGTGCGAGCCGGCACACCGACGAGCGTCGTAGTTAGATAGATCTTTGTCAAAATATAGTTGCAGATTGCAGTTGTCCTGCTCGCCTGGTTTTCTAGGCCTTCGACGGCTGCCCACATCTTCTGAATATGCTCCTCCTGGCGCAATATCGGACCCTGGTAACATTGTCGGTGAGATGGTGTTCTCATTGACCTGGGTCCAATCAATGCCCAGGTGTCCTGCAGCGCTGCTTTGGCAGCCAATGACAAGCGCTGCTTGTCCAAGCTGCACAAGTGAGCCTGAGCAGGAACGGACCCGCACACTGCTTGAACAATGCTTCCATAGTCTCCTCCTGCTTGCTTGCGGAGTCGAAAGGCATTGTGCTCCTCCAAACAGCTTTGCATGGTGGACAGCTCCGTCTCAGTGGTTGACACCTGAAGAAACGTGGAATACAGCAGGTCTCACTTGAAATGTGTCTGTGGCAAAGGATAGAAGGATTGGCCAAGGCTCCTCTCGCTCAAGCTTCTCCATTCTCCGTCCAACAGCGAGATGCATGGATGAGAATTTCGACTCCTGCTGACCTCGATGTTGCAAGCATTTGCAGAATGCTCAACCTTCACCAGCTTACAAGCACGTTCGCCCCAAAATCCAGAATCCTTTTTCTCACCTCACATCTCTGCTAAGTCACTGTACTGATCTTCGAGAAGCCTGACAGAATCCTCATGGATCTTGAGGCGGGGTTGCACGGACTCAAGTTGCTGGGATTGAGCTCGCATCTCCTCGTCATGGCTGCAGATTTGAGGACTATAAAGGCTGCTCGCCACCAGCTAGGAAGTCTCCAAGGATTACAGTTGTCGCGGCAATGACGGGTCCTCCATGGCATCATGAAGCCTTTCTTCGTTCATGGACATCTGGTGGGCGGATTTGAAAACCTGCTTGTAGGTGTCTTCGGTTTGCTGTGCCACAGCATCCATCCGGCTTTGTGCTGCCATCGTTTCGGTCTTGCAGGCGGCCACACCAGCAAGGGCTTCTTGTAATCTTGTTCCGAAAGATAGCATCTCCTCTTTCTGCTGCCTCTGCGTAGAGGCAAGTTCCCTTGACGTTTCTTCCAAAGCACCCACAAGATCTTTTTGACCGTTCGCGAGCTTCACAGCCACATTCGATGCGTCCTCGTCGAGAACAACGTTCACCGTTACGAGTCATGAGTATGGTAGGGGGGAGATGGAAGTCTTTTGCTGGTGAGGAAAATGATCCTATTGAGAGGGCCACGAGCCTGCGCAGCCGCCAGCTCAGCAGTCAGGCGTCGCACTTGCCTTTCCAGTTGCTTCATGTCCTCGGCCTAGCAAACTTGAGAGCGGCAGCAAGCAAAGCGGCCACGGGCATGTAGCTGGCTGTCCTGCTTGTCGGCAGACACTCGCAGCAGACCCACATCTTTTGTAGTTTCAGCGCATTGTCTCTCTGCAGACTGGCTTGAGCAAAGGCCTGCAAGTCATGTGCGCATGCAAACGCGTGCTGCATGATTGCCTTTGACTCTTGTGAGCCTGAGTGAGCAGAAGCTTGCTGACCCGCCGACCCCCCGTGGTGAGTGCATCACATATGAACCTTCCACTCGGTAACCACACAGTAAGCTCGTGCGAAGATGCCAGCGTCAAATGCAGCATCATACAACGACATGCTCCTCCGACCTAAGCCTAAAACCGGTATTTTCCAATCTCCTCCCGCCAACATGCTGTAACCCACCAACTCTACGTAGGCATCCGATGCAGTTCACTCGATCGGATCGAAACAGTAGCCGCTTCCTGTTGTCCGTCCACCTGTTGACAGGCCCTGGCCAAATAGATTCTTGCTCATCATAGAGCCCATCACATTTGTTTATGTTCCGCAGCCCCATCAACTTGAGCTGGTACTGTCTTCTGCCGAAATTATGATACACGTCATGCAGGAATCCGCAGGGATCTATCTATCCTTTCTTGACATGCCATGAAGCTTTCACGGAGGTCCGCGGTCCACGACGCAGGCAGTGGACAGGGATTGAAGTGAATCCGAATTTCGTCCAACCGGACGACGGTGCTGCACTGCAAGTGCAGCTGGCAGCTCCATGCTGTTGCGCCCCTCTAGAGGCGTCCGTCCATCTGTGTGGGCAATGCGGTGGAAGGTGCTGGTTTGCTCATGCTTCACGAATGGCCACATGCGTCGGCACGGCGAAGTTTGCTGACATGCGGCCACACGCTGACAATCGACAACACAATTCAACTTTCCTGGATACCCTTCGTACCAGGGCAGTCAGCCAACCAACCAACACACAACCACACACAAACATGCAGCAATTGTCGGGAGCGGCCTCGCTGAAGGTCTGCTTCGTTGGCCGCAGTGCGCTCCTGCAGTTCCAATATCCTTTGATTGCAGCTTTCGAGCTGCTCCACACTCCTGGCAAGTAACGGGCCAGGGACTATTTACTGCCAGCCCAGGATTGCGATTATGCATCCTGTTTACACAGGCTGTGGGTCCGGAGTCTTGAGATCGGGTGACGGGTTTGGCTTTGCGCTGCACATGGCCATGCGACGTCCTGTCTGACCGGAAGGCTGTTAGACCTCTGTTTGTTTTGTAAGCGGGCCTTGCAACACTGGACTCGAAGGTTTCCAGCCGCAGCCGCCATTTCCTTTCTTCAGCCACTGCTCGAGCCTTCCGTCCGAGACTTTCCGAAATTCTTCGATTGGACATCTCACTTTGCACCTCGAGGACACGCTCCGATGATGTGGTGCTCGAACGCGCATCCGTGCTGCTGGCAGCATCGTCCAATCTGACAAGAGGTTTTGCGCGGCAGAAGCTTGAAGAAGGTGCACGAAGCAGGAGCGGGCGGGCTTTCTGATGATCCTTGCTTGATCCTGCAAGTCCTTCCGCAGCTTCTCCAAATCATTGCCTTCCTTGCAAGCTGACCGAGATGCAACATGCGGGTGCTGTTGGAGAGCTGCGAGCTGTTCAGGTGCACCTTCAGCTTCTCCAGCGTGAGCCCCTGCTCCTCCACACGTTGTTTCAACAGCTCGACCTGACAGGAAAATGTTTTGGTTTGCTGCATTGAAGGCTACTGGTAACTCTTGTTTCTTGTGCAGCGTCTGCCTCGTCGTTGGCCTGAGGTTGAGGTTTATCTGCGTGAACCTCGCTTCAGGCCAACAAAAGCGTGCCCCTTCATGCACAGACAAGTCACGGATTCCTCGGCTACCGAGATCTGACTACGACATGCGATGGAGAAATCATTGGCACTTGCTCGTCGGTGAATTTACACGACCATGCTTTCGGTCCTCTTCGAGGTTTCGTCTGGCAAAGGCGATTTCCTGCAATTCAGCCCGAAAGCAGTGGCTGAGAGACAGCTTTCCCTTGCCCTTGCGGTGCTGTAGGGTCCTGTGAAAGCCATGATCGCATTTCATCCATTGCCTCTTGGACCAGAAGCTCCACGTCTGCCTGGAACAGCGGCTAATGTAGCTAGCATAGCTAGCATCCACAGTGAAGACTTTCATGCCTGTAGTTCCGCTCTCACAGTATCTGCCACCTGAGCTACTCCCCATGAATGGTAGCGGACAAGGCGTTTGTTCTGGCCTTAAGATTTGCATTGGGAGAAGCTCTGCAGGGGGTGGCAACCTGCCCGAGAAAATCAGCGAAATCTGAGCTCCATGTTCGCAAGCACGCACGAACAACAGCGATAGCTCTCAAATCTTGGACACCAAAGCACAAGCCGCAGTGTGCTAGAACAGGTCTGATGCTCACGGCAGCTGCTAATTCCCAACATACCCGGAAGCCCACAAACTCCAACAACGCCGTGGACGTGGAAGCTTCAAGTTCGAGTGTCGGTTCACTGCACAAGCGCAAAATCGAGATGCAGCGACCCTGGCGATTGCAAATTGCTTGGTTTTTCCGAAGGTTTGTCAGAGCCAGGACCCGATGCCCGACTCCTCTGTTGATTTTTGATTTGCCGGTCATTTGGGCAACATGTTCGGAGTCTGTGGACGGCCTTTTGGTTTTTCCATCGTTCGAGGTGTCCAGTGGCGTCTACCACTGACAGATATTGATCTCAATGTATTTCAATCATTTTGTTGTACTTACTTTGATCATGCGTGTGTGTGTGTGTCTCTCCTCTCACCCGGCTGCCGGCCCGCCTCGCGCAGCTGGGCAAGGTGGGAATCCCAGTCCTGCGATGAGTGCTGGGCCGCGAGGATCCGCAGGATAGTAATCAAAAGAGTTCTGAGATGCCTCGACATTCCAAGCGTCAGCTTGGTCTTCGGCCTTCCCCACGAACTGCATTGATGCTCCCTTAATGCATTTGCTTTGCCAGGCCTTGCTGGAGGCCGTGAGACCCTCCGCTGCATTGCAACTGGAGGCAGCCTTGGCTGAGAAATCATGCTTCTCCTTTGTGTGGCAGCGTGGCAAAAAGAAGAGCAAGGCTGAGCGACGGGCGGTGGACACATCATACTTAGCGCCCTTCCGTGAGGAACATGGTGACCTTCGAAGGACAAGTTGCCAAACGAACTGGAGCCTGCATGCTCATTGACCAGCATCCGGCTGGCACCTCTCGTGCCATGGAGCATAATCACCTGGAAGGCAGGCCATAGCCACGGATGCCCTGGTTCAGGCCCCCAGCCCCAGCCTTCAACGTCGAGCGCACGCACTGCCGAAGAAATGTGACCAATGTCGTCCTCTGAATCAGCACCGATGTCGTAAACCTCGGCGAAGCAAAACGCCATGCCTTGAAACCAAGGCAAACTGCAGCATGCTGTGCCTTCTTTCCTTGCACTGCCTGGCGTTCCAAGCAGCCTCGGTTGGCGAGGAGGACTGCGTCCACCCGTCACCACTGTCACCGGATCCTGACTGGGCCGGGCTCAAGCGAGAAGGGTGTGTTGGCTTCGGCCGTGGCGTTTCGGGCCAGCCTTGAGGGCTCTTCTGGTCGCAGCGCCGGGCCGGGGTTTCCTGAAGCTGCGAATCTCTTCGCGGGGCATGAAGATCGCCACTGGGCAGTAACAAGTCTGCTAAGGACAAGCTGCTGTCTGCATGGGAACCCGCTGTGCCTGCTATTCCTCCAGGCACCCGTACCATGTGCTGAGCCAAAATGGCTCTTCACCGTGTGAATTTCAAACCAATTTTTTTTAGCGGCTTGTCAGCTTGCACACCTTGTGCTTCTAAGGCAAGCTAGGCGGCGGGACTGGCTACGTGCCAGCTTGTCGATCTGACTGACTTCTCCCACAGGCAAAATCGCTTTTCAGGCGCCATGGTTGATTGACAGGAGCTACTGGATGGTATCACCATGTGCCATCACCAAACTTTCGGGGAGGCATCGCTGGCATAAGCTCGTACATTGATGGTCTGTCTGCATCACGCCTAAGGATAGCCACCACTCCGAGTCTCTTCCCTGTCGCTGCGCTTGCCATCAAGAGCGGCGCCTCAGCTGAGAAGACACGACAGGGTGATACCGCGCAGCTTCGCTCTCGATGAGCCTCGAGGTCAAGACTCAAGAGGAAACATCCGTTATCAGGTCAGCTTCAACACAGGCATTTCTTTCCATGTGCTGCTGATCCAACTCGGCCATTCGCGCAGCTTTTGCCGGATGCGCTCGCAGTGCCTCATCCCCACATGGCGCAAATGGCGCACTGCTGCCGAAACACAGTGACCGTGAATCTTACGACTTTACACTTCATGCTCGGACACGCTCCTGTGCACACATTTATTCCGTGGTGTCCTCTGCAGCATGCCGTTTCAGAATGCTTCAGATGCTTCAGCAATGCGGCTCGTCGCTGGGAGGAGTATTGGGCGATCGCAGCTTCAGCACCTGAGCAAAGAACACAAGCAGCATATCTGCAGTTCCTGTGGTTGCACGTCGCCTTGAGCACAGAGATATATGCATCGAACGCCTGGCGCGGCACACGAGGAAGCAGCTGTGCCACCAAGGGCTGATTCAATCAAATTGCCAACCGCATCCCATCCACACCTAATCGAGCTGTCAGTGTCTCACACGTCTGCGTGTGGGTGCCGCGGGTGTAGCTGTTTGGGGGTACAAAGGACGGGTCTGGGGTGCAGCTATGCTAGGGTGGGGAAAACTATGGAGCTGAGGGATACCGAGGGTGCGGGGACAGAGTGTGCGAAAAGCCGCGTCGTTCATATTCCGGCCGTTCCCTCGCCCCCCCTCCCCATCTTCCATCAAAGAAATTCCAAAAAGTTGCTGTCGAACGTGCCAGGCCAGGTTCTTGCTGCAAGCGGCGGCGGTTTAGGACGACACCAAAACCCCAAACCGACCTTCCCTTCTTTTCCATGTCTTCGAAGGCCCTTTGGGGTCAGCATCGAAATTCGGAAAGCAAAGGTTGCTTCGCAAGGCCAGTTGTCAGAGTCTTGGCTTTCGGACTCAGGGCTGTAGGGCCGAGGGGCCTTCACAGCTAGAATGTGGCTTTGCTGTTGTTCTATACTACGACAACTGTACCAAGGAACTCTCAGGAATAGTATTGGCACTTAGTTGGGGTGCGAGGACTAATTCCAATTTTTTTGTTGGCTTTTCTGCTTCCCAAAGCAGCTGCAACTATGGCCAGGTGAGCTTCGGTTGTGAAATCACGTTATGCACACTTTTGCCGACTCCCCGCATCCTGTTATTAACGGCACGTGGTGCAAATCTGGTCCGTGCATCCGCTATTCGCACGGGATGCTCGCTGCGCGTGTCTCCTGCTGTGGTGCGGTGCATGCTCTTCGTCATTTACATAGGGTTCTATGTGCTGGAGGCGTGACTCATTGTAAGAGATATGGAACACCCTTGCCTGTGGAAAAGCTTGAATCGCAACAGTACTTGGGGGAAATGCTTTAGGGTCTTCCTTTGGACGTAGGCCACCGGGTTTAAGGCTCGCTGTAAAACGTGTAAGGCCAACACAGCATCCTGTTTGGTACGCAAAAACCCACGTATCCGCACTTCACGCCGCCACACCTCAGGTCTCGTACGCAAAAACTAGATTTGTCGCACTTAACGACACGAAACCGGAGGTGAATACGCCAAAATTAAAACTAATTTGACACGAAACGCGCGGGTCTAGGGAAGGGTTGAAAACGCACAAACTAATTGGTTCGCATGTGACGGCACGGAACCGCAGGGTCTGGGGTAGGGTTCGTTTGCTGCTCGCGATATCTTAAACACGTCCCCTCTTTGGCG